ATAAAATGATTATTTACTTTTATGGTTATGAAATCATTGGTGCAGCTGTACTTTGAGATGGGATACATTTACATTCGTAAATACGGACTTAGTGCCAACTATATATCAATGGCTTTGCGAATTATGCTAAACGATGATGTAAAAACCTTCGTATGTATCTGTAATGTATTACGTGTATTAGCGCAAAAGTCGTTATTTGCATTTGCATGAACGTGTGCATGATTGGATTTGAGCAATGCCGCATTGTGTTGACATTTAAGATTCTTCATCCATCAATGTTAATTATGAGAACTATGATTTTAGTTTGTAATGTAAGAACAATATACATATGAAACGCAATAGAAAAAAAATAAAGAAATTGTAAAGATTGTTTTGTTCACAAACCGAGGTTTCAGTTGTAGAAGTTTTTTCATTCCAATATCGAATTGTTAGAAAACCGAGTAAAAGTTAAAAAAAAATAAATTTACTGATTTCAGTTCCTAAAGGTTGTTTAACATGGAATTGTTTGAAAACCAAAAATTAAAAAAAAATAGTTTAAGGTTTCGGTTGTCGAACAAAAGTGTTCGAATATGGAATTGTTCGAAATAAAAAATGAATAAAAAAATGTTCGAAAACCGAAAACTAAAAAGAAATGTAGCTTATTTAGTCATAACTGAAGTTTCTGTTGTAGAACATTTTTCCTAAATTTAAAAATTACAGGTTGTTTATTTCAAAACCAAGTTTTTGAACATCGAACAAATTTCATTCCTAAAGGTTGTTGCTATTGTTCGAAAACCAAAAAGTAATGAAATTTTAAATTTACAGCTTCCGTTGTTCGAATACCGAATTGTTCGACTAAATCTCTATTTAAGATATTAAAATTATTTAAATTAACCTTATGACTATTAATACAATTCTTAAAAAAAATTGGACAAATCTGAAAAAAATTGTAAATAATTATTTCAAAATAGTTCTGCGTCGAAATAATGACTGATGTCATTCTGTCAATGATAACATGTTACTTTTTGAACTAAAAAAACATTTCTACTTGAAATTATCAAGTAATGCACGTGCGCAAATAATGTAAAAATGTTGCATTATCAGTTAGAAAAGCGAGTAAAAGTTTTAATTGGCAATTTGCCCCGACGATGAAAATATGCGACTCTGTATCGCATCATTATCGCATTTCTCTATGTATGCATTTGTGTATGCTGCATATTCTTTATTACTTTATTACGCCAACGCTCCAAGCCAACTACCACTCTCTGACTCATGATGTTCATGTAGCAGAGGTAACCAACTTTTATTCAAACATGCTTATGTATATACTATATATATATTATATATAAACTTTATTATTTTATTTAAGTATGTCTCACTTTTATCTATGTTTTCCCAGTTAGGTTGCGTTGCGTTGCATGTCAACCGAGCCAATGATAAATGGCCGCATGGACCCCACATTAACCATTCAATCCTTTGTTTCTCCTTTATTATTCTGAAACAAAACCGAAATAAAAGAAAACGCAAGCAAATGCAAAAATAAAATAAAATGCAATGAAATAAAAAAAGAGAGTACGAACAAAAAGCAGTAAACTTGATTGTATAGCGTATAAAAGCCGGCATAATATTATATGCACGACCGTCGCAAGCTGCACATAAATATATTTACGATTTATATAATAATAAAATTAGATTTAAACCGTAGTTTACACCCCGATATATTTTAGCTATAAGATATAACAAAATTATAAAAAAAAAATATTTTTTTTCTTCTATTTTATATTTTATTCAAATTCTATTAAAAAAATGAAATTTGTATCTTTTTACTATAGGTTATAATCTCAGTTAACGTACATAAAGCGTATACATACGTTCATAGGTCAAAAATGTTAACAAATGTGTGTATTTGTTATTTTTGTAACATACTTGTCTTTTTGTTCGCACGAACATAGTCGATGTCTATAGGAATGTACATTTTGCATTGAAATCATGGCATTATATTCTTATATCTACACACAGATTTTTATTTCATTCAGATCGTGATATTTTTTAATAATAGCTTGCATTATTATGTTATTTTTTATTTCTTGATCAATTAAAAAAAAATAGATAGTTAACGTCTCGATCTGATAAAATAAAAACTAAATATGGTTGACATCATTGTACGTTCGTACGGATATTTCTACTTTTGTGCGGATATTTGTACGTTAGTGCAGATGTGTGTACGTCAAACGGACATAAGGTCGTAAATAACTATAAACACGTTAGTAAAATCGAACTTACCTTAAAAATATATATTTTAAGTGAGTACTAAATTTTAATTATAACTTATATATTTATCATTAATTTCTAATATTTTCTTAGATTTAAAAGATCTTACTTTATTATATGTTGTTTTTATAAAAATCTTCAACTTCATTATTTTTAACAAGGCAGAAATACACAACAAGAAGACTTGATTTTTGAAGTCAGATATACGTATCAGCCTGAAGAGAACTGCTCTACATGAACAATCGTTTCAAATAAATCATGCAACAGCACCTTAAAACCATTCAAGGCTTTCGCACGGCAATAACATTACATTTTATCGTACTATCGTCTTCCGCAATTGTCTAGGAAGCTTAAGATGAATGATACATCTTTTTTTTAGCATTTTCCCTTGGCTTCGTATTAACCTCATTCAATGAAGCGCAAAAATTATGCGAAAGATTTATCGTTTCGATTCGTATTGTTTCCTTATTCAGATAGATACAGTAATTAATCATGAGGCTAAGAGCAAGTCCAGGCGCCATCTGATAATAAGCTTCTTTGTTATTATTACTATTATTGGCTTACTCGATTTATCACAACGTACTGATAATTTACTCAATAAATTAAAAAAATAATAATTACATATTTATGCTTTGAAGATCAGATACATAATGAAACAATAAACAAAACATATTTACATAAAATTATTGGTCTTTCTACTCTTATTTTGAAATATTATAATAAATATCTGTATATTTTTTAATAAATTTTGTTATTATATATTATTTTTTAAGGTTTATTAATAACGATCACTTTTCAAAAGTATACTTTTTTAAATGCAAAAAAAAACTAAAAATGATATAAATAAATATTTTATATCAATATTCTAAATAAAAGAAACAATATATCTCAATAGTTTTTGTTGTTGTATAAACATTAAATAAATATTGAGTTTATATTTGTAGATTTATATAGTGTGTGTTAAGTATCGAGGTAGAATTATTATTACTCATTTTTCTGTTGTTCGAAGTTACGTTTCATGAATGAGTCTTTTGGTTTTAAGAATAACGCCTGGAGGAAAACCAAGCACTTTTGGCCTCCTTTTCACAAGAGAAAAAAAGAGTTGACCTGCAGTCTCGTGGACTACTTCGAAGAGATGAGCAATAAATAAGCGTTTTTTTTACATTATTAAAAAATTTCGCTGCATTTACAAAATTAAATTAATTACAATCTTTATTAGGAAAAGTAATTACATGATTGTCATTAATTACTTGTTTAATTAATATTTTTTGCTATAATAATATTTGTCAATATTAATAAACTTATTTGATCATTTACAATAAGCAAATTAGAAAAAAATTATTTAAAATGTATAATTTTGGTAATATTAAGTGTAATCAAAATAGAGAAATCATAGATTTAAAATATTTCAGTCATTGAGTTTCGAGTTCCAAACTTACACATTTAAATTGCAAAGTAAATATGTTTATCCTACTTTTTAAACTTCCTGTAATACTATTGATAACTGTTATATTATATTATAAGATTTTTTTCATACATACATATAAGTTATATTTACTCTTAACAAAAGTAATAAATAACTTTTTTCTCTTCATACTAAGCAGACAAATAATTACGTTCTAAATTAATGTTTTCTACTGCAATTTTTAATAATAAAAATGAATATATCTTACCTTCTGAAGAAAGTAAACATCTGGGGTCACAGAAACAGGTGTTAATTTAGACAATTGTTAACATATAGGTTGTATCTAAAAATTAAGAAAAGCGATGCAATTATTGATAAAATATATTTTTTAATATTGAAAGTTGTGTTTGACGTAGAAAACGAATATATGTTGGAAAATGTATACAGATGTAACGGAATTCGCTCGAATGATTTCTTAACATACTTGTATAATTAGACATTTGAAAGCAAGCGTAAAAATCAACATAAATATACCTTATTTAGTAATTTATGCATTATTCTTTGAAGAGAAAATGCATAATTTGTTGAACTTGAAATTGTATTATTAAAACTGTTTCATTTAGATCAATTGGGTTAAAAGTTTCTAGTTTAGGAGATGTCAATGATTTTAATGTAATTAGATTTTTTATAATTAATATTTTTGAATTTTGTAAGATTTATTCCAATTAAGCTTTTATACTTACTATAGTTAAACAAGGTCACCTGTTAAATCTTTAAAAACACTAGATATGGAATAATGTTCATAAAGTGACACAATTTCTTAGGATAAATGATGTAAATATTAGAAATATGTATGCGAATTATAATTGGTTGAAGCTCTATATGATCAATGGTCATTTAAAAGAGAAACCTTCTAACATTTGTTTTGCAAGGAATTAATATTGAAATAAACTATATTGGAAATTTGCCTATTCTATATTAATATTATTCACCATTATTGTAGAAGTAACAATAATTTTTAATTTAAATTTTTCTATGTACAATTATACTTATTAGTTGTGTTGTTGTTTGCTTACTTTCTATGCATTTAAAAAATCAAATAATATGCTTGCATTTTGAAATTTCAATTTCTCCTAACCAATTTCAATTTTACGGTAGCACAAAATGTCGAAAGTCATCAAATAAACATATTCTCTCGCTTACTATTACCAATTTCACGCTCCTCAACGTATCGAGGACTCGGACAGCAAGAGTAATCATTTCCTTGGATAATAGCAACACGGAGAATCCATCCGTGAACTAATAATCTTCATAATTACAACTAACAAATGAAAGTCACTAAAAGCGAGTGTCTTTGCTTTCAGGATTATGCGATGTGGAAACCGGTCAATCCAATATCATCTTGGACATCGAGGAGAGCAGGGGTTCATGTAAGTATATTATTAACTTGTGTTTTTGTTTGAAGAGATGTAGATTATTGTTTTTGCAGCTATTAGTCAAGAAACGAATCCACCTGAGCTGCCCATAATCGGTGAGCCGTTTGTGGATATATTCCTGGAACTACTGTTCCAGAAAGGACCTCAAATCTTCTTCCTAAATGGCAAAAAACTGCAGCTGTTGTCGCCGCTGGATAGAGATGAGGATGGCCTTTCGCACATTGTCTTCCAATTGGTTTGTACCATAAAAGCCACGCACAAAAGAAGGACTGTTCCTGTGATAGTAAGACTGACCGACATCAACGATAACGTCCCGGAGTTTGTCAATACTCCATACGAAACATCTATATCAGAAGTAATTTAATTGCAAGTTTTTAATCGTTGGGTATTTCTAAAATATAATAAATTTCAGTTGACGCCAATTGGTACAACGATTTTCCAAAATATACACGCAACGGATAAAGATAATGGTGTGAATGGTTTGATTGAATACTCGATAATACCAGGAGAGGATGAAAATTCTGATGTGGCAGATGGATATGGCTTTTTTGCCATTAATTTACCACATCAAGGGCAAGTAACAGTTAACAGGACTTTGGATTACGAGAAGACCCAGAAGTACCATGTCACAGTTTTGGCTACAGATAAGGCTTGGAACGTGTCTCAGAGGTTGTCAGCTACGACCACGCTGACGGTTAACATTAAAGATGACGATGATCAGAATCCATCGTTCATTTACAAAGGTTGCATGCTTTTGGATGGAGCTTGCATCAATCCGGAATATTCTGCTTCTGTAATTAAATAACCAATTTATTCACTAGTGACTCATATTAATTCCATCAATTGTAGGTATCAAGTAGAGGTAATCAAGGTGTTTTAAATATAAGTCCGGAGAAAATCCAAGCTGTTGATATGGATACTATAAACGCACCTATAAGGTACACCTTCGTTAGTGGCACTCCTGACACCTACTCAGAGTACTTCCGCATTGATCCGGAAACTGGGGCCGTGCATCAAATTAAATCCGTGGACACATCAACTGCTAAACGCTTTGATATTATATTGAAAGTAATAATTATTTATCACACTATGTAATAGTATAATTCAATTTTTAACTTATTATTTTCAGGCTCAAGAGATTTCCGAAGCTAAACGCTCAACCACTGCTAAACTTGGTATCACTGTTAAACCAGTTGATGCTCATCCTCCTGAAATAATGCTCACTTCAACTGAAGGTTTTGTGGATGAGAATTCACCTATAGGAACCAATGTTGTGGATAAAGATGGAAATCCTCTAATCATCAGCGTTGTCGATAAAGATTTCGTAATAATTGAACTACGATTTAGTTGTGAAATGAAATAATAAGTTTTGTTTTTAGGGACCTGATGATGAGAAGCCAGAATACAGTTATGAATTAACGACGCCGTATTTTACCATTGATAAAAGTAACCGTTTGGTGGTCAATGAGAACAACATCGACAGGGATCCTCCGAATCCGGGCAGATTCAGATTTCAGGTTGTTGCGAGAGAGAAAACCGGTGTCGCAGCAAGTGCTCCGAAATCTTTATCCGTTAATCTGAACGATGTTAACGACAATCCTCCGGTTCTCCCCATAATAGCCCCGGTCTCCATTCCCGCCGGTGATGTTAAACGGAAGGTTATGACCATACAGGCCACCGACAACGACGAAGGAGAAAACGCAGAAATCGTGTATTCCATTTACCACGTCTCGAACAACGGCAATAATAAATTCATTATAAACCCAAAAACTGGGTTGTTGGAGACTGTTGGCAAATTGAATGCCGGTGATCAATATAGTTTAACAGTTCAAGCTACGGATAAAGGAGGCTTGTACACTCAAGCTATAGTTGAAGTGACCATAAGTCCGGGTCCGAACACGCAAAGTCCTATCTTCGAGCAGACAGTCTACGACATCGAAGTGAGCGAAGGCGCTACCATCAACTCAACGGTGGCTTCGATAGTGGTAATGCATCAATAAAACAAACTCTTCGTGTAGATCAGATTTCAATGAATTGCTTTAATTGCAGGCTGTGGATCCGGAAAATGATCCGGTCACCTATTCAATAATGTCTGGAAACGATTTACGGCAGTTCGCGATCGGCGCTAAGACTGGTATAATTACCGTTATTAGGAAACTGGATCGCGAGGACTTGACGCGCTATCGCTTGGTAAGCTCTCCGGATGGTTTAGATTTATGGAGCTTATGTTTAGAGTATCGTTTTCTTCAGATTATAAAAGCGGAGGATGCTGGCAAGTTGGCGAGCACGGCGACTGTAAATATCAAGGTGACAGACATTAACGACAAGAATCCTGAGTTCGTGGGCGATCCGTACAGTTTCACGGTGAAAGAAGGCGTCAACAACACTTCCGTGGGCTTCGTCCGAGCCACGGATGCCGATGAGGGCGTCAACGCCATAGTTTCCTATGCTATACCAAACAATCTTCCCTTCAACATCGATTCCGACACCGGGGAAATACTGACAAGCCGCGCCTTAGATTACGAAACGCAGAAGGTAAATAATAAAAAAATATTTTTTAACAAAACTTTATTAAATATTTGTACTTTTAGAATTACCAATTTGTGGTCACTGCCAAGGATGGGGCTCTGGATCCTAGGATTGCTACAGCTACAGTATCCGTGGCCGTTATCGATATCGAGGATGAAGTACCTATTTTCCATAGACTCGAATATGTGGCTTCAGTTCCTGAAAACGTACCCGATTATTTTGTTACCGACGTTATGGTCAGTCTAAAACTTAGTATTTCATTAGTAACAAATTTAATTCGTATTCTTTTTAGGCCTTCGATCCGGATACTATAAAAAAGATCAATTATGTGATAGTTCGAGGTCCAACAGATTTATTTAGGATTGATGAAAGTAGTGGAGCCATTTATACTATCAGAGGTTTAGATTACGAAAGGGAAACACAACATGTTTTAGTTATTGGTACATTGGAAAATATGTCCAACGAGAATGGAAGCACAACAAAAGTTATCATCAACGTTGAGGTATATTTATATTTTGTATTTACCTTAACAATTTTTACATATTTTTTTATTTCCAGGATCGTAACGATATTCCTCCAGTTTTCACTCTTGTTCCACATCCAATAACACTTGATGATGACGTTGCTATTGGTACTTCAGTAACTACTCTCATGGCGACAGATTCCGATGGTACAGCTCCAGGAAATAAGGTACTTTTGATTTTTTTTCACTGAAATTAAGAGATTAAATATTTCTAAATCCATTAGTAGTAATTCTCAAATATTTCAGATATTTTAAATAATTTGCACATGTTTTTAAAATAAAATATTTTATTAAAGGTTCGTTACGAGATAATCGGACGTGGAAAGTCTTCGAAGTATTTCCAAATAGATCCAGATTTAGGAGTGGTAAAAGTTACAAATGACCTGAAGAAAGAAATTGATACTGAATATCAGGTAATTAGTTAGTCTATTTTATATAAGTCACTAAAAAATAAATAAATTAATAACATTAATAAATATAACATTTATAATATTTCAGGTGGATGTACGAGCTTACGATTTGGGTGAACCTCAACTATCTTCAGTAATAACTTTAGATATTTACATTCAACACGTGGCCACTGTAGCTCCAGAAGTTGGACTTCGATTTGCAGACACGTCTTACAGCGTTCAAGTTTTTGAAAACGCAACTGTTGATAAGTTGATCAAAACTTTGACTATAGTTAATAGCATACGACACGGTATGAATATACCTCTGAAATGCCAAATAATATCAGGAAATGAAGAAGGTATATATATAATTATACTTTCTTTTACAATTATATTAATTAAGTATATTATTTTAGGTAAATTTAGAATTAACGTCACAGAAGAAAGAAACTGCGCTTTGTATCTAAACCAGACTGTGGATTATGAGACTGAAGAGACTTACAACATCGAGGTGCAAATAATGTCGCTTCAGGGCTTCATTAACAAAGAATTCAGTATAACCGAAGTCACAATTCACGTGGCCGACGTTAATGACAACGAGCCGTATTTCATTTACCAGCCGACGGCTAAATCCAAGTACTACGCAGCAATCACGAAGAGTGCGCCTCTGGCCACAACAGTTCTTCAGATCAAAGTGAGTGTTTTTATCACGAACATAAGAAAATAACCATAAAATCGCGCATTGTAATTTTAGGCCGAGGATAAAGATAGCGGAAAACTGGGTAAAATCAAGTTCTCCATTAGTGGAAACGGTAGCAGCGAATATTTCAGCATGGATTCGTCTTCTGGGATTGTTAAAACGAAGCGGACATTCGAGAGACGGGATAATGGAGAACCGTTCAGATTGATCGTGAAAGCTAGGGATAATCCAAATTCCACTAAGGATTTCCACGAAGTTGAAGCTCCTCTTATTATAAATTTGATCACCGAAGAGAATCGGATGGTACTGGTGATTGGTGATGCTAAACCTGATGTTGTTGCTTCGAAGACGGAGCTTCTGGCAACCACTATTCAAGAGCAAACCGGTTTGATTTTTGGAGTGGAGAAGCTAGTGCCTAGAGAGTATATTAGCGTTAACGAGACTTTGGAGGTGGATCAGGACGGGACGGATATCTGGTTTTACGTGATCGATCCTGAAACTGATACCATATTACCGAGGAACCACTCGATAGTTCAGAGGTCGATCTTCGAGAAGTCCTCCATGGATAACATCACCTTCGACGTGTCCGGTCAAATTAAACACACAGTATTCAACATCCACGAACCTCTGATCGTGCACAAGATTAAAACCTCCTCCATAGCATCATTCAACGGGGAGGTATTCCCGTACGCCCTGATCATAATTGCCATAATCATTTTTGTCTTGGGTATCGTCGGCATCATTTACATCTGCGTTTCCTGGTCTCGCTATAAATCTTTTAAAGACCAAATGCAGAGGTCGTACGTGGTACCAGCAAGTCCGGCCAGGTACGATTCAGTGTACGTCGAGCCCAACCTGAAGGAGTACGAAACGCAAGTGCTCCAGATGTGCGTACCCGTCGACGATCCAGACGATTTCAACGATCTCCATTTAGACTTTAGCAATAAGAACCACGCTTTCAGCTTGGATAATGTTAGTTATATAAGCAAAGAAAATAATTTGAAAAAATACGGTAATTAATTATTACTTTTAATCAACGTTCTCTTATTAATCTTCTTAATTTCCAGGGAAACAAAGTCCTGTAAGTAGCGACGATGCAACGACAGCCCGTGCCTCCAGCGTTGGAGAGCACATGCTCAATAATCCTAATACTCATTCCTTAAGGAGGGATCATCACATATATCAAAGGTATAAGATCACTTAAACGTTGACTCATTGTTTCTATAATTAACTTTGTTCGTTTTAGGTCATCCGATGATGATGACGACATGAACGCAAGTCCATCGAATGACAACGTAATGTTCAGAGAAAAGAAAGACTACTCGCATTTAGGTTTCGCCTATGGCGATCATTCGCCAGTCGAGACCACCACCGAATTGTAGATAAGCCCTATTGACTCTTTTATTTTATTATTATTTTTTGTTTATGTTTAATTTGTAAGGAGAATAACAAATAATGTATTTATTAACGTTTAAGAATCTATTTTGTATTTATATATGAGAAAAAAAAAGGTTTTAGGTATTCTTGTAGTTTCATTATACATCAATCCTTCAACAAACTTTAATACTAAAAAAGTACAATCATTCAATCGTGTAGTAATGTAAGCTTATGATAATTTGTAGTAATGCAGCAATATAAGCATATTAAAAATATTTAACATAAACATGTCTACACAGACTGTTGGTTTATTAAGTAAAGTTGTCGTATAAAAGCAAATTATTGTAGTCAATGTTACGAAAATTGTTTTGGTTTATAACCAAAAGTGGAGGTTATAAACAACTGTAGGTATCATTTGTAGCTATAGTAATGACTATTATTGTTTGTTTATTATTTCTTTGATTTTTTTATCAATGCTCTCGAATGTCAACATATTAATGTCTTTCCTTGTAGTATACTTATTAGTATACTTGTAAAATAGAAGGTGCCCTTAATGACATGCAAATAGAAGCTTGGTGATTTAATAATAAACTTGTTTTATTCAATATATCTTTATTCTATTTTATTTCTTTGAAACTTATATAAAAAAAAATAATAATACAAATAGGTACTTTATTTACAACATTATATACATAATATTAAAAAAATACGTTCTACGCAAAACTGTTTTGGGATTTGCACACTTTACTGGATTGCATATCTTTTAATTACAAACCCGCATACGAACTCTTCGTGGATTTTTAAACTCCTGGAATTACGTAATATATATTTAGATATAATAATAATAATGATATAAAAATAATAATAATAATAACCGTGCACTAAATATTAAACGCTAAATGTACGATTATAATACACACAATAACAAAGGTAAAAATAATAATAATAGTAATTGTAATCCATTAAAGCTCACACATTTAACAAAATATCACGCATCCAAGCCGTCTTGAGCTTTCACTTTCCATACTTGGAAGCTATGCTGTATAGCGAATTCAATAATTGCAGGGCTCTGCTATCCTGATCATCGCGCTTCAATTCGGGCTGCACGAAAATTCCCAATGGACTGTTTTCCGTTTCCTTCACGGCCACAGTTTCTATATGGCTAGCCTCCTGACCCAGCTCCCCACTACCATACTTGATTATATCACTGACAGCCTTAGTTTCCAGCGTTTTGTTTCCGCATTCGCTGATCAGCAGCAAAATCAGCCTTCTGGTCAAAGGATTTTTCTCGATCTGCTGCATTTTATCCAAGAACTCGTTTTCTGTAGTGTTTAATTTATTCAAAATCCTCTTCAATTTATTGGACTCTTTTTCGTTCTTAGTAGAATTCATGAAATCAATCAAAATACCATGAACTTGCGTTGAGTTCAATTGAATATCCGGCAACGCACGTAATTCATAATCAATTATTGATTCCGTTACGTATTTATCTAAACTTTCCAATGCCTCACTTGCTGTCACAGTTGGTGGTTGAATAGTGGTAGCTTCATATTCGTAAGCTTCGAAATCTTTAGAAGGAATCGGAGCGAAATCGTTAGGATTGAAACCATTTAATACATCTTCGAAAGGCCTTTTAGTTGTTTCCTCGATAACAAATTTGGTTGTGGATTCAACTGTAGTTGAAGTATATTCAAATGCTCTTGGGAAATACGTCGTTTCAAAAGGTTTCTGCGTTGAAGTTATTTCAACTTCCTGAGATGCACTCTCTTTGAATTCACTATCTGGAACTGCTTTAGGTAGCTCAGTGGTTTCAAGCTTATCGTTGATGTCAGCCGGGTCTACGGATAGAGTCGTTTGCCAGAGTTTAGCAACTTCCGGTGAAGAAGTCCAGTGATTGGAAGGCAGCTCTTTAGGTGGACTCAAAGCTTTGTTAATTCTGTTATTGAGAATCTCGTTTAATGAAGGTATAATTGACTGACTGTCAGCACTCTGTAAATTCTCCAAATTATTATTGTCTATGTGCTCAGATTTGTTGAATGCTAAAATGTAGCCCCAAGTGGGATTTGGAGGAGCCGGAGTTGGCAATCTCGGAGTTTCCGGTTTAATATCGGCGTCTGAGAAGTTCAAAAGTTCATCATCATCTGGGGTTTCCGTTGGTAAGGTTTTAATTGGTGGTGGTTCGGTTGGTCTAATTTCGTGCAATACTTTCTTGAAAGTGTCAGGATCATCCAAGTACGAAGATAGAGCTTGCGTGAATACTTTAGCCAATTGACGAACCCTTGGACTTTGGACCGCGTTACTAGAATGCTCACTGTCTAAATCATTAACATCTCCATTGGTATCTTCGTCTTTATCCACTTCTTTGTCTTCGGTCTCAGCCTCCGCACTTGAATCTTTAAATAGTTCGTGATATTTGGAAACGGTGTGTTTGCTCAATAATGAATTGATAACTAGATTCTCGTTAATTTCAGTTGTAGTTGTTTCATTTTCTGATTGAACATCGGTTGTATTTTCATCAGGAACTAAGTTATCTAATGCGTTTGCAAAGTAAACAGCCAAGGTGTGCAAGGTTTGTGGTCCAGCTGATGGAGGAACGATGAGACCTGGACGAGAAGACTCTGGTTCGTAGTCCTTAGATACTCTCACGTTGGCAATTTCTTTCAGAGTATCGATCATTCCAAACACATTTGGGCTTACAGTTGATGCAGTGAACGGTCTAGCAGATGAGTATATAGTAGGATGGGTAGGAGTTGTGTATTCAATAGGTTGCTGAGTGGTACCAACATTCATAAATGGACTTGCAGAAGATGTTTGATAATTAGGAGTAGTTGATTCCTGGGGTCTGTAAGTAGTAATAGTTTTCGGTTCAGGTGTTGAAGATGGCAAAGAGAACGGTTTTGGTTTTGGTATACCGGTGGGTTTTACAAAACCAAAAGTGTTTGAGTGGTACTCCGTAACTGGAGAAGGTTGTGGCGTTGTGGTGAAGTCTGGAGCAGCTGTAGGAATATACGTGTTCTTAGAACCTGTAACTGATCCTGCTAGAAGACCATTGTTTTTCACAAAATCAAATGTATTTTCTTGATATTCCGTAACTGGACTCGAAGTAGATGTTGTGGTGAAACTTGGAGCAACTGTTGGAATGTAGGTATTCTTAGAGCCGGTAATTGATCCAGCAGGGATGTCAGTGTGCTTGGCAAAATCAAAAGTGTTTGAATAATATTCGGTAACTGGTGTAGATGCTGCTGTTGTGGTATATCCAGGAGCTGCTGTTGGAATATAGGTGTTCTTTGATCCTGTAATTGATCCAGCATTGAAACTAGAAGTGACAAACTCCGCCGGTCTAAAAGTATCTTTAGTTACAAAGAACCCAGTTGATGGACGATCCGTTGATGGTACTTCAGGAATCTCATTCTCCAAAGACAATTTTGGTGCTTTAATATTGTTGATATTGTTGAAATTACTCTCATACGACTTTCCTCTTGGTTTGATTGCCTTAAATCCACCGTCGCTGCTCAAAGTAATCTTTATATTTCCAGGTTTTGTGGTAGAAGTTGTTTTGTAAGTATGAGGTGTTGTTCTTTCTTCTGGTAGCTTAAAGGAAACAGCTCCTTGTACGCTATTAAGACCTATGGTGTAAGAAGTTTTCGATTTAATTTTGCGAGGAACTGTGGATTTTCCATTTTCAACAGTTGGAGGATTCGTGAAGGTTTCAACAACATTGTTGTAAGCTTTCGGCAATGGTGTGTTGTTGTTAAAAGTTTTTGGTACTCTTGGGTTGGTACGCGACCCAAAGGTTGTGAAGCTTTCAGAAACTGTTGTTGGTGGTGGTAATTTTGTTGTTTGTATAAATCTTTGAGTGGTTATAAATGGTTGTCTCGTTGTAGCGAAATCTTGCTGTGTAGTGTAATATTGTCTGGTTGTTGTTATGAAAGGTTGTCTTGTTGTTGTGAATGGTTGTCTCGTTGATGTGAATGATTGTCTTGTTGTTGGCGTGAATGGTTTTCTAGTTGTAGCTGTGAAAGTCTGTCTTGTAGTTGGTGGATATTTGAAACTGTTTGTTGTTATTGCTGATGGAGTAGTGGTTTGATACTCTCTTCTTGTGGACAACACTTTTGGATTTCTTAAAGCGTATGTGGTCCTGGGAACTTGCGTAGTTCTCTGTACGGTGGGCACAGTTGGAGAATATTGGAAAGTAGTTCTTTCTGTAGGATACGTTCCGAATTTTGGAGTGGAAACCACAAAGGGTTGACCATTGTTCAAAGGGCTTTTGTTGGTGGAAGCGAATGTTTGCGGACTAGAAGATGATGAGTAATAGTTCGGAGCATTAGTGTAATAGTTCTTCGGCTTCTGGATCTCTGAATAAGTCTGTCTGTGATTCGGGTAAGGATTCTTGGTCTTCGGAATATTATTGTAATTGCTCTTGTAGAATCCAGCTGTTTCCTGTGGCACTTGAGCTTCTTCGCTGCTATTAGGTTCACGATAGTTCGACCTTCCTCTAGATTGAGATCGCCTTTCACCAAAATCTTCAGACAAATCCATTTTCCTACTAGCAAATTGGTTATCCGCATTTCCATTGGACACGCGTCGCGACGCCTTCCTCCTTAAGTTGGATTCACGCAGTTGCTCGGCACTTTCCTCATACAGATTTGGCGAATTGGTGCAGTTCACTTTGAACCACCAATCGCAAATCAAGTCGGACTGTTGGAATATCGTGCCGTTTGGACATAAGAATGAAACCTTAACACCTTCGTTGCATATATGAAACACCTAAGAAACAACAAACAAACAAACAAAAATTAGTTAAGTTTTTCTTCAATAATGCGTGGGAAGAAACGGAAATAATTTTTAATTGCCCATTGTTAAGCCAATCTATGTTTATATAATTTCGGGATTAAGTAAACCTAATAATTACCTGGCAATCTGTTTCTAAATCTGCGTAATAACCGCTTTCGACTTCCTTGCAGCTGAACGTAGTCCGAGGGATACGGGAGTAGATTGGAAAATCCACTCCAGGTCTTCCTTCCACTCCTAAACAATATATTATCATTACATAAATACAACAACTACAAACAATAGTTTACCTTGATAGTAGACGTAGTATTGATCGGTATTGTTATACCTTCCGTGGTCGGAATTCAATGCTTTCACCATCTGCAAAAAACATAAAAATTAAGCATTTGGAAATTAGATCGTTAAATTGTTTACTTACCATAGATCTTCTACAGTAAATCGCGTAGAACAATATGGCGAGCCCTGGAAACAGAAGCATCCATAAAATTAAAAACAATAATTTCATTAAAGAAAGTCCTGTTCTCATGTCTTTCACGTTTACAAGAACGCTACGACTCGTAATTAGAGGCGATGCTAATTAAACGTTCAAAAACAATGAAGCCAGGAAAATCATATTGGAAAGCACACATAAAACGGTTATATAACTTCTTCCCCTTCATCATCATTTTTTTTTCTTTCTCCGTGCACATTCTTAGCTTTTTTTTTTCTTCTTACATCTAAGTGAATCTTCGTGAAACATCCTTTCTTACTTGAACGTCCGGTAATTAACATTGACTATGTATGCGCAACGCAATATCCGGTCTGGCTGGGACCGATTGAATTATTTGCAACTTTGCACCCAATTACGGAAATACCATAAAAAAAAGGTGATGAAGAAGATGAAACAAATAGTTAAAATTGTGGGCGAAACAAAAGGAACACTTACCTAATTTGTAAATGTGATACCTTTCCATTTTGATTATCTTCTTCTTTCCTTTGTTTTTCGTATGCGTTGACGTTTGTGCTTCTCTTGGGCTGGAGGAATCTGAAAGAAAACAAAAGAATGACTTAAATCAAATGACGGTAATTTGAATAATCTTCCCAAACGCAACGAACAAAGATAAGTGGTGGAGAGTTTATGTAACTAGGAAACGAAATTTATGGCTTACGCAACGCCGGCTCTGCAACCCTCTTTTGCTTTGCATTCAATTAAGAAACTTAATGCGACTTCTGTTTCTTTAATGTTCTCTAAATTTAATTATTGTCGCAATTACTTTAATGCTCTGTTACAAAATTGTTTGCAATTTTTTTATTAATTATTCATTATAAAATTTACAGTAAAAATATAACATACATTTTTCACTAAAATTTGTGTTTCTTTTAAACTGAAGAAATTCATCATCATGAGCTATTATAAAAAAGATTTAAAGATTAGTTACATTAATAATCTATCAAATTATTAATTAATTAATAATTTATTTGGAAATATTCTCTTAAATTCAAATATTTGTCTGTCAACAAAATAATACAAGAAAATTATATTTGTTATAAAATTGTTCAACTTTGAATAAATCAATCAAAATAATATCATTAATATATATGTAAAGTTTTAAAATATTGAAATTTCTACAAATTCAATAATCAGTATTTAATAACTATAGCTAAAAAGACTATTAATATAATTTTTTACTAATTATTATATACAAAAAAATAGTCTCTGATGTACATTTTAGGATTAACAACTTTCATTCCGAATTTCATGTCTTCCTAACATATGATCTTTTGAATGAGTCTTAAAAAACTAATTTTCAACGTACTTTCACTACTAATAAGCACTTGCTTCAATTTATATTCACTTACGTAAAGCGCAATTATTTTATTGTAAATATGCGATAACTTCTAATTAACCGTAAATTAAAACACGTTGTTTCATTAATATTTCATGCACGTATATACTCAAATGTGTTATGAAGATATATATCCAAGAAGGAAGATGCATTGAATATCAAATTCACTCGTGCGTATAATATAATTAATAAACATAGCAATATTATCATTGATTTACACGTTTATAGGTAATATAAATTATGTATGTAATATTGAACATTTTTCTTAGCAATGTTTGTTTTGAGGCTAATAATAGCCGAAAGGTTAACTCGCCCTATCCACGTGGCAGTGGTCACAGGCTCAAATCCTGGCCAAGCCCCCTCAGTGCTTGCAGCAATAGGGCCATCGTTTATCACAGATGGACAGTGAAATGAATGAGGTTCAACATTTGGACCTTCAGCCAAGTCGATGGACAATGACAATTTTAAGGATAGCAGCAGATTCACAGTCAAAAGAAATAGTGGAATCGCAGATCATAAATATAACTGAAGTTAACCTACAAGACGACAGCCAACCAACAAATTAAAAATCAAATCATCTTAATGGTAACTATCCACCGGGAAAGATTACCTACCTAATGTTAACCATGATCTTAAATTTATTCAATGTTCACATTGATGAACAGATTGTAAATGAAATTACATGATATAAAAAAAATGGTTGTTTTAATTTTCTTTATAAATATACTTATATTGCTTATAACAGTGTTTCTCTACCAATGGATCTCAATTGAAAGTTCGCGCTAAATTTAGAGTTAGTCGCGAAATGACAGCTGTCAGCTTTTATCTTTTTGTAAATAAATGAAACTATCAATAAATTTGTTAATTTTTCGAATTAGTAAAAGATTATTTCAATCGAATAAATAACCTTACCATTCGTTAGTTAACTTTCCAAATCTGACATATATTAAATGATAAACGTCATAGGGTTTTCCACAGAAAAAAAAATAAGCAAATAACATTATGAATATAATAATAATTTTTGAATTACTGTAATTTATTATTAATTTAATTTATATACAAATGTTATATGATTTTTAATAAATTTTACTAATTATTTATTAATTTTTCTATACTTTAAATTTATTTATTAAACCATTTAATAAAATTCACAATAACTTTTGGTTTATTTTCTTGGTAAAAAAATATAATTTATAAAAAGGTTTGTCGACTTAAAAAATCCACAAATTATGTTGCTTAACATTCGAAAGCTGACAAGCGTTAATTGTCATATGACATTTAGTTGTTTCTAAGAAATATATATAAAATAAAGTATAAAGATTAAATCAATTTCTAAAAGTTAATTATCCAAAAATGTTTGGTATTTATAAGATAATTAGAAAATATGCATTTAAGAAATATGCATTGAAAGTATTGCATTTTCAATTTCATGCTTTAATATCATCATAGCTGGTAGTTCTCAATAAGCGGAATCGACTGAGGTTAATTATGATTGAAAGCTTAAGAGCTATGGCATTTATGCAAGAGCTAGAACTATTTCAATTTTGTAAACTGTGCGTTTCTAGTTCTGCCCTCTTTCTCTTTTTCAATATGCGAGCACGTTATGTAAAATTAATAAGTGTGAATGATGATTTCGAGGCGAGAGTATGATAGGTAGCGATTTGTAACAACTGACAACATTTACTTCGAAGATGAGCAGAAAATTAATTGTAACATTTGCAAAAAAAAAAACGACGCGCGTCTGCATCTAAGAATAATTAAATCATTATGAATGCATGCATTTGGCGTTGTTCTTGTTGTTGTTGGAATAGAAGGAGAAGAAGACAATTGAGTGGGTGACCTAGTTAGTTAACGCGTGAGAACGAGGCGATCTCCAAGGAGGATGGTTAGGTTATCCACTGTTCCTCCATTGGATTACGTGCCAAATGTTGCGAAAGACTTCTTCGAATAGCTAAATAGCTCGGTGGATGTACTGTTGGTTCGTAGATCGGCAATGCATGTGAATCACCTAGACAAATCTCAAAATTCCTATTTGATTGGCGCACCAAATTGGAAACGAATCGTCCCGGTTCGCCTTGCATATCTGGCCTCATCATCGTTCGAGCTACGAATTTTTCCCTCCGCTGATTTCTAAATTCTAATTGAATTTCATGCTCGTTACTGTTAATCAATTTTAAAATAAACAATGCCTTTAACTGCAGGATGTTTCAACACAAAAGCTTTAATCAAATCAAATATGTTCTTCTATAAATAATTAGATTTTCTTCGCAGATCTTCGAGAAATTTCAGGGACACGACTAGAAGGGGAATTCCAATTTTTATTTTGTCTTTAAACATTATTTACAAATATATACGACAATGAATATCAATAATCATGAATATGATAATGTTATAGTTTCATTATTGTTTCAAGAATTTAATAAAACTTATACTTATAAAAAAATCTATTATTTTGTACTAATTATGTAATATTTATTCATTTCCAATTATAAAATTGACATAACCTCAACTAAAAAAATTACAACTAAACAAATTTGTAACGTTAATTTTATGACAAACTTCATTAATTACTATAATTAGCTTCTATATAATTACTACATATACCATTAAGTAAATTTATGTTAACTGAATTTTTGATTTATTAATTGTTGCAAATATAAAATAATAATAATAATAGTATAACAATTTTTGTGCGTAAGAAATGTGGAAACATATGTTCGTTCGTTTACATTGAAAAGGCTGATGCACTTTTCTTTTCTTCCATCTGTATATCAGATTTGGATAATGTGTGAGAATGTAGCAGAACGTGTTGAGAATTCAAACTATTTCATGTAGATTTTTTGTTGTTGTTAAAGATCTCTTTTGAAAGAGGAGAAAACCTATCTGGTTTCGCATTTTGACAGGAGAGGAGAGCGCTCGACGAATGGGTCTCAGTAATTAAGTGTTTTGTTCTTGTTTTACGAACAAAACTCACTTGCAATTGTTTCACCGGCCCATAGAATTTTGTTGCGTAAACTGGATGAAATAGGAAATAATCACGACATTCCTTTTCATAATACAAATATTAATTGCAGAAAAATATTTCTTTATACTTCTTATAAGAATATTTCTACACATTTATTTTTAGAATAAATTTTGTAAATGAGTATTTATAAAAAAAAAGGTAAACAATTTTATAATCAAAACAAAATATAATTCAACGTCGAAAACAAAGGACAAAAGAAAATTTACATTGACATTGAATATCAAATTGTAAAAAAAAATATGTAAGTTTCGGGTTTCCAATTTTAAAATCATCTATGAATAAAAAATGTGAATTGAAAAATTTTAAATTCAAATTTCTAGCAATGTATTTTTTATTCAAAGGTCAAAAACCGTATATATTTCTAAAGAAATATGTGCATTTATTATTTAATAAAAATTATTACTTTCTATTTATCAAAGTTTTCATAAAAATTCTTTATTAATATGCATAAATATTCAATCCATAAATAATTACATATGCATTTTGTGTTGCAACAGTATTTAAAAATATATTTACATAATTTAAATGTTTTTTTAACAAAAAATATGAAATTATATTTTTTTGTCCTAATTGTAGAAATTAAATAATTATAAATTTATTAAGTTACAAAGTATGAAAATAGACTCTGATTTTGGTAAAGAAATTGACATAATTTAGTTAAAATCATTGAAGATCTAATAAAAAAGTTTATTTTACACAAAAAATAAAGAAAATTATGATTATATATACATTTTTAATGACATTTATTTGTATTTTTTTATTGAAAATTAAAAAAAATGTATACTAAATGAAAAGATTAAGTAATTCAATTATATAATTAATAAATTTTTTGATATTACATTTGCAATTATTGTCAATTTATATAAAATTACTATGAAATTTGATGTTTAGTACAAAACAAAGAATGGAAAGTTGCAAATTAAAATCAAATTTTGTGTTGTTAATATACGATAAGTGAAGAAACAAAAAAAGTAAAATAATTGTAGCTTTCGATAGATGTAATTAATTATTTGATGAACACTTTCTTCTCGACATCACGTTCATGTGATTCGAGTGCATTTCACCGCAATTACACCATTACGTAACAATTTTCAAATATAAACAGTCAGAGCTGATTTGTTTATGTTCGATAATACATACAAATATCTGTATGCATGCACGATAATTTAAAAT